TTCACTCGATGCCAAAAATAAAACGGCGCTAAATCTGTTAAGTTCAAGTCAATTAAATGAATCAACAATGGATTTGTTATTTTTCGCTCTGTTCGTCGGGGTTGTATTGTTTATCGAATATCTTCTTTACAAAATTTCCATATTTTAGGATATTCGCTTATTTTTGAATCAATTATCATTGAAAATTCGGAGCAACAACAATGGTATTTAATAACGCAGTTGTTTTTTTAAGAAGATATAAGGGTGTTATGAAGTGATGCAAAATAATACAAGCTTAGCAAAAGCTTATTTACACGGCCTTACATATGATTTTTAACATTATTTGAAACTCTAACATGATTTGAAACGTCTTCGTATAGTCTCCAAAAACCGTACCTCCCAAAATTCGGCATGTTGATGATTTTAGCGACATTATCCACCGGAGTTGTTGGAAATTTAATATTTAGAGTTCGTAATAGGAACTACAGTCTATGCCAGAAAACTGTCTATGCAGGTCCAGGTCTTCGTATAGGCCAAATATATTAGTACCTCCCTATATTCGGCATTTTGACGAATTTAGTCTCCGAAATTGTTTTAAATTTCGTATTAGAATTTTCTAATAGGTACTATAGCCTGTGACAGAAAATTATCTATGCAGGTCTAGATCTTCGTAAAGACCCCGATATAACGCTACCTCCCTTTATTTGGTACTTTGATAATTTTAGCTACATTATCCACCGGATTTTTTTTCAAGTTTCGTATTTGAATATTATAATGGCTTATGACAAATGTTGCCTACGTAGGTCCACGTCTTCGTTTAGACCCCAATATAACGGATATAAGATTTTAACAGAATTACAAAAAAAAAAAAAACAGTAAAGAAAGTCCTAAAGTCGAGCGGGACCAACTTTATGATACCCTACACCACTTTGCCAATTTAGTAGAGCTCCACATAAAAATTAATAGTTTTTATGGGAGAATTCAATCAGACACGCCATGATTTTAATTATAATTTATAGTTCAAAAGACTAAATATGCCGAAGCACTTGTATCTTTTAAATTCGGACTTGTATTGCCCATTTGGTGCACAATTAATTTGAAATCGGATAAAGAAACATATGGGAGCTATATCCAAATCGGAACTGATCTCGATAAAATTTGGCAAAGATATTTCTGAGCTGTATTTGATATATTTCCCTGAATATCGTTGTATTACAGAGTGCATATTTCGGAAAAGGGTGACAATATAACAAATCGGATGAACAACATATATGGGAGCTATAGCTATATCTGAACCGATCTTCACCAAATTAGACATACTAGCTTCTAGACTAAATTCAGTCGTAATTGCCGAAGTTACATATATGGGAGCTATATCCAAATCTGAAACGATCTCGATAAAATTTAGCAAATATATTTCTAAGCTGCATTTGATATATTTCCCCAAAAATGGATGTTACAGAGTGCATATTATGGCTGCGGAGGACAAAAATGACAAATCGGATGAACAATATATATGGAGCTATAGCTATATCTGAACCGATTTCGATTAAATTTTGCATACTTATTTTCAGGCCTAATTTGGTTGTATGTGCAAAATTCCATACTATTCGGGCTGATATTACACGTTTGGTGCACTATAAAAGGCAAATCGGACGAATATATATATGGGAGCTATATCTAAATTTTGACCAATTATCTCCAATTTCAATAGGGTTCGTCCTTGCGCCAAACAAATGTTGTTCATCTCAATCGGATAATAAATGCGACCTGCATTTTGTTCACAAGAATACATGGACAGACGGACGGACTGACATACATAAATCAACTCAGAAAGTGATTCTATGGAGATCCTCAAAAGTAACTATGGGTCTATCTCGCTTCCTTCTCCATGTTACAAAGAAATGCACAAAGACATAATACCCTTACCACTATGTGGTTTAGGGTATAATTAGTATTTGGTAGGTCATAATGGGTCCTAGTTCGTGGTGCGAAATATTGTATGTATGTGTCAATGTTTTCGTATAGCCGCCATATAACGGTACCTCCCGACATTCGGTATTTCGATGATTCTCCGAATTTCTTTCAAATTTAGAATTTGAAGTTCGTAATGGATACTCCAGCCTATGCCTATATTGTCTGTGCAGGTCCACATTTTCGTATAGCCCTCATATAACGGTACCTCCCGATATTCGGTATTTTGATGATTTTAGCTACATAATCCACCAATTTTTATTTTCAAGTTTCGCATTTGAATATTATGATAAAAGTTGCCTATGCAGGTCCACGTCGTCGTATTTTTAACGGTTTTTATTTTTTGAAAATTGCCAAATTCGTTCCAAATGGTGGAGGGTATACAAGGTTCGGCCTGGCTGAACTTACAGCTTTTTTACTTGTTGGTATTAAAATGGGACATATAGGTCCAAGTTTCGGTATAGCCCCGTCACATAGTGTTATTTCCTGATTTCTGAATGTTTTAACCACAAGTTTAAACCAAATCATGTGTAACTTCACATTTAGAGTTCTGAGTAGGTATAATCTCTAAATGCTAAAACTTAGCAACACTGTTCCGGTATTTAGCATAGGCCTCATATTACGGTGCCTCATAATTTCATAAATAACTTGACATTTTAAGTGCGGAGCTGAGAGAATCTCTCACTGCTAAATTTTAGCAAAAATGTTTGGATGTGGGAAATTTGAAGAGAGTTGGATGCTTATTTTGGTTTCTTTGAGCGTTTTGTTTTTCAAAATCTAAAACCTATGTGGGGGAGGTACCAGAAGAAATTGTGCGATCTCTACCATCTTTATAACAAATCCTGTTTTGATGAAAATATTGAGATGTGCTTAGTGTGAATAGAATCGGATGTTAATTTCGTGTTTTATAAGCTTCATGAATATTCAAAATGTTGACCCTTTGTGGGGGAGGTACCTGAAGAAGTGGACCGATATATCCCATCTTCACACTAGACCTTGGGTTAATAAAACTATTGTGATGTGTGAAATTTGAAGAGAAGCGGAGGCGTATTTCGAATTTTATGATCATTTTGATTATTCCGCTTTGACCCTTTGCGGTGGAGTTACCAGAAGGAATGGTACTATTTTTACCATCTTGATAACAGATCCTGTGTTAATGGATATATTAAGATGTACCAAGTCTAAATGTGATCGAATGTTAATTTTGCGTTTTATGAGCTTCATGGATATTCAAAATTGTGACCCTTTGTGGGAGAGGTACCAGAAGGAGTGTGCCTATATATTCCATTTTCACAACAGATCTTCTGTTAGCAAAAATAATGGGATGTGTGAAATATGAAGAGGACCGGATGCTTAATTCGGATGTTATAAACGTTTTAGTTATTCAAAACTTTGAACCTTTATGGGGGAGGTATCAGAAGGGATGGTCCGATCTCCACCATATTTATAACAGATCTTGTGTTAATGGAAATATTGAGATGTACCAAGTCTGAATGGAATCGGAAGTTTAATTTTGTGTTTTATGAGCTTAATGGATATTCAAAATTTTGACCCTTTGTGGGGGAGGACCTGAAGAAATGATCCGATCTCTACCATTTTTATAACAGATCATGTGCAAATAGAAGTATTGAGATGTGCCAAGTCTGAATGGAATCGAAGGTTAATTTCGTGTTTTAAGAGCTTCATGAATATTAAAATGTTTGGCCCTTTGTTGGGTAGGTACCAGAAGAAATGGTCCGATATCTGCCATCTTTCTAAAAAATCTTGTGTTAATAAAAATATTGAGATTTCCCAAGTCTGAATAAAAAAGGGATGTTGATATCGAGCTTTATTAGCTTCATGGCTATTAAAAATTTTGACGCTTTGTGGGGGAGGTACCAGAAGGAGTGGATCGATACATTACATTTGAAGACAATTGGACTCTTAGATTACATTTTATAAGATTTATAATTATTCAAAATTTTGACCCTTTGTGGAGGAGGTACCAGATTTAGTGGATTTATATTTTCGCACCTGAACTAGCACTGATATTATAATTTTCAAAGTTTGAGTAAAATCGGATTACCCTTTCTTTTTCTGTGCAGTAAATTATTTTCTTTGAAAATGTTGACCTTGTTGATTGCGATATTGCCCATCTCCGAACTCGATCTAAGTTTGGTAATAATATTACGATGTACCAGGTTTGGACCAAATTGGGTACTTCCTTCGAGAGTTATCGTGCGCACCAGCCAGACAGTCATCTGAAAATCTCTTTCTTTTAGATGTAAAGGTTCAAAACGCCGACATTGGTGTCTCCTTCTTTTAGCTCTTCTTTCATAATCTACTGGATATTTTTGTTAGCATAGTATAAATATATATTATTATACCCTCAGCCATATGGCTACAGAGGGTATATATATCATTTGATACGACGAAAACGTGCCTCACAATAATAACGATTTTAGATCCTAGGTCTCTTTGGACCAAATCCGTTTCACGACATTTGGTGTCGATCTATGGCTGAGGGTATAAAAAGTCGACTTTTATTTTCAATTACATGTCCCATATTAAAAATATGTCTTATCCCAATTTAAAATTTGAGATTGTTAGCACTTTTCTGTTTACGAAAATAAATAGCGTTACACCCTAATCTACACATCTCTCAGCGCCATCATAACATAACAAAAAAAAGTGTTAATATTTTACTGCTATTATCATTAACACCATCTAATTGACTATTGAAAATCAGTTTATAAGCTTTGCTCTGTCTTTTTTTTAATGGCATTTACCCTAATTATTATACCGGACCCTTTCGTCGCCACCACCATGGGTATGGCATGCCATGCCATATCCATTCCATCAATTCCCCCAAAAAAACCTCGAGAAGATGCTGCTGCTGCTGAGGCACATTTTGAGTTTAAACTCAATTGAATTGAATGAAATTTCGTTCGGAAGACATTTCTTTAAGCCGTGACCGAGGGTGGGGGTCGGCGTTGGATGTCCAGAAGTGGCGATGGCTGCGAGCAAATACAATTAAGCTTGATTTAGTTAAGAAATAAATTTTTTAAGTAGAGACCGCAGTTGAGTCGGAAACGTTGAGCGGATTAAAAGATTCTCTGGAAAACGAAAATCGTTCTTTATTTTCTTAGAAAAAAAATTGAATTCGAAAAAAAGAAGAAGGCTACAAATATTGTGAAGATTTTTTCAATAAAATGTCCATTAGCTGACACGGAATTTGTTATTGTCAAGCCATTAAGTGACGCAAACGAAAATTTCAATTAAAAAACGCAAACGAAATTTAACCCCCCCCCATTCGGCCGGAATTGAAGACTTCGACGGGTTCTCATTTCGTTTAATAGCTGTCAAAATTCTAAATTGACATCATTTTTATTCATCAACAACCCGAAAAAAAAAATAAAAAAAAACGCCAAACGATCGATTTCATTGATGGAAATGTTCGAAACAAATGTTTTGCCGTGATCTTTAATTTATTGTTTTGCTCTAAAAAACAATAACAAATTCATTACAAAAGAAACAACAACAAAACGAAAATTATTTAACAAAAAAAACGGAGAATTGTCATTTATATCAACTAAAAACGCCAAAGCCTCTCTCCCCGCTGCTTCATCGCTCACTTTCACTCGCGTTTGCCACGTCAAAATCGAAAACTAATTAACCGCCGACCATGGTCTATTTTCGCGACAAAGAACGCAATCGGGAACGCGCCGATCAAAAGCAAGTCGCCATCGAACGTATCATTCATGACGAGGAGTTCGGTGAGGAAAATGTCGAACTGGTCGATTCCGAATGGGCTGATTTTGAGAAATTCATACGAGATCTGCGCCAACGCCGCTCCAGTACCACATCAATGGAGGAAGAGCTAAGACATGCCCAACGCCCGACCCGTGTCAAATCGCAGGCATTTTATCCTTGCCCACCGCCAGCTGAACACGGTCGCGATTCGGATTCATCCTCGGACGATGATGATCCCTTTGGATATATTGATACTGTAGTAAGCATTACCAAAAAAAAAAAAACAAAATTATCTGCATTATTTGATTTGCATGTTTGCTAGTCCTTAAGAAAAAACGAATGTGGATTTTGAAAACAACATCGATTTTTGTGTGAAAATAGTGTATCTCCTCGGATAATCTCAGAATTAAATTTGGACAACCATTTTAAGTGTTCTAAAAGTATGTGTGACAAAAGCGCCATCTATACTTGAAGTGAAGCAATTTAGATAACGTTTGTGCAACACCAAAGTTGAATAGGAGTGAGATAAAGATGGATTTTGTGTATCTGGCTTCATGGATAATATCTTTTCATCTAGATGGAGTGGTAATACTTAGCAAAGACATTCACCTCTGCTGGTGTTTTAATCTTGAAAATTTTTATGAAAAAATACCTAATTTTAGGAAAAGTTGTCATACTCCTCATTCACTTCGTATTTCTTGCAAAAATATTCCTACAACGGACCCAAAAGATTCACCTTTACGACGAATTGATATTCCTTGTCTAAAAACCTGGTTTGAAGGACAGATGGAGTTGCAATACATAGTTGAGACAACAATCTTTACCTGCATTCCAATACCTCAAAATTTCTATGAAAAAAATTCCTTAGTTTTAGGAAAAGTTTTCATTTTCCATATTAACTACGTAATTCTTACAAAGATATTCCTACCTCGGTCTCAAAAGATTCCTCATGTTTAGAAAGTCCTAATGACTGCATTGGAGGACAGATGGAGTTGCAATTTTTACCTGGATTTCAATACCTCAAAATTTCTATGAACAAAATAATTAGTTTTAGGAAATGTTTTCATTTTCCTCATTAACTACATGTTTCCTGCAAAGATATTTCTACTAAGATCTCAAAAGATTCCTAATATTTAGGAAACCCTACGACGTGCTACAAATTTTTTGAAAAGATATTCCTACTATGGGCTTAAAAAATTCCTAATATTAAGGAAACCCTAACTATGTGCTGATATTTCTTGTCTAAAAACTGGTTTGGAGGACAGATGGAGTTGCAATACATAGTTGAGGCAACAACCTTTACCTGGATTTCAATAGCTTAAATTTCTATGAAAAAAAAATCCTTAGTTTTAGGAAAAGTTGTCATTTTCCTCATAAACTAAGTATTTTTTGCAAAGATAATCCTACCACGGTCTCAAAAGATTCCTCATGCTTAAAAAACCCTAACGACGAACTGATATTCCTTGACTAAAAAACAAGTTTAAAGGATAGATGGAGCTGTAATACATAGTTGGGGCAACAATCTTTAGCAAACAATGAACGGATATTCCATGTCTAAAAACCTGATTTGGAGGACAGATGGAACTGCAATACATAGTTGAGGCAACAATATTTACCTGGATTTTAATACCTCAACAATTCTATGAACAAAATACTTAGTTTTGGGAAAATTTGTCATTTTCCTCATTAACTTCGTATTTTTTGCAAAGACATTCCTACTACGGACTTAAAAGATTCCTAGTGTTTAGAAAACCCTAACGACGAACTAATATTCCTTGCCTGAAAAAAACTGGTTTGAAGGACAGATGCAGCTGCAATATGTTGATGTTTTCAGATTTCACACACAGAAAGGATAACTACATTTTTTGAGAAATGTTGGAATTTTCAATTAATTGAGTTAGCTTCGGTTTGTCACTCTAAGATACAAAGTAGATTAAATCGAGATACAGATGTCGGACATGAGCCGCAATTTTCTGTCTTCAACTTGAAATGGTTATTTCTGAATTAAACTTCAAATTGTATTACGCAGTATCTGAACAACAAATGAGATAACCATATTAGGTTTTCTAAACTTGTATTACCGGACGGACTGAGGTACCAGAATGAATGGACCGATATATTCTATCTTCACACCAGACTTTGTATTAATAAATATATAACTCCTTCGAGAGTTATAGTGCGCACTAGCCAGCCAGACAGACGGACGGACATCGCTAGATCGACTTCAAATGTCCTGAAACGTATTAGGTCCAAAGAGACCTAGGGTCTAAAACCGTTATTTCGATGAGGCACGTTTTGACCGTATCAAACGTATGACTGAAGTCATATGGCTGAAGGTATAATGAAAAATTTGGGAATTATTCTTCGCAAATGCTTAGGACGAAATTGTTGCTCACTTAATCAATGATATTCTAATGAAGAGGGTATATAGGCGAAATAGGGTTTTAGACCCTAGGAAAGTTTGTCCGTTCGGGACATTTGGAGTCGATTTAGAGGTGTCCGTCCGTCTGTCTGTCGAGCTGGTGCGCACGATAACTCTCGAAGGGAGTCAAACTTACATCGAGTTCAGAGATGGTCAACATTAGTCTACTCCTTCTGGTAGAACCACCAGAAAGGGTCAACATTTTCAAAGAAGACAATTTACCTCACAAAAATACAAAAGATCATTCGATTTTGTGCAAAGTTTACAAATCAAAATATTTTTGTCAGTGCTAAGTCAGTTTCGAAAATAGGCAGTACCGGCATATTAAGACCTCCTTATCACTTCGAGTTATCCCATTCAAAAGAACGACAATTTTCTTGGAAAAGTCCATTATCGTCAGAACGAAATCGAAAGCTACGTTTAGAATTTTCCAAAAAAATAGAAACTGGTAATATTTTCCGATGTAACAAAGATCAAAAGAGTCTCTCCAGATGGGAAATATATGTACGTCGCCCTAAGTGCACTGGGTACAATCCAAAATATAGCCGTGCTACTTTTAAACATGACAGTGGATCCATTATGCTTTGGGGTGCTATGTCATCAAGAGGCGACGGACCTTTACCAGAAGAAAGGTTGAGGATAGTGTGGACAATTCTTCTCACATGGATACTTTGGCAGAATAACGATCCGAAGCACACATACCGCCATGTGAAGTAATGGTTTATTAAAAATCTCTTGAGAGTCCTGGAATGACCATCATGTAGTCCTGATCTTAACATCATTGAGAACTTATGACAAGTGGTTACATCGTTGAAGTGGGCCTACTTAAAAATAAACATTTTCATGACATTTATTTTGAAACACTTAAAAAAATGAAAATAATAGGTTCCTTAATTATGTGCAGGGATGGAAATTGTCGAAATAACAATGTTCATTGAAATAAATTTATTACCCACAGTTCGAAAATAAATGACACAAGTCGTACTATTTATAGAATGTAAAGGTTAATATGTAAACTGAACTTAAAAAAAATTATCGCTCATTGAAGATCCACCCAATCGACCCCTCTTAGTGCACACACCACATGCCCTAGAGTTCGTGTTCTTCTTCATGGTTTACCACCTGGATTTTCTTTTGTCATTTTGTTTTTTTTTTTTTTTCACAGAAAAACAAATGTTTATTCGCGTTCGGAATTCTGCGAAAGGATGGGTGGCAAAATTACAAAGGAAAAAAGGGGTAGACCATATCATCCATAAATAAATTTTGTTTATATTTCAATTAACAATTCTCAAACACTAAACGATATACCTGTAAAGCTATTTCAATCTCTGTTGGTCCATAAGAATGTAATCTTTGGGTATGTGTGTGTCTGTCTGCCTGTCTGTAAATGATAACCGGCATTTTTATCTCTGGTGGCCAGCCACCCCATGGCCCTGATCACCACTATCTTGTTATATTATTATAGTCTAGGTAGAATCTTTTTCAGTAAATTCATTTAAGAAATGAATTCAATTTAAATCCACTACTATCACTCCTGAGAGGTAGTAGGGTAGTAGGGTTGCCATGTGACGCTTTTTTCATAACAAATAGGCCTTTAATTCTTGTCTGGGATATAGAAATTGATTTTGTTGTGATTTTATTTGGGTTTTTGGATTTAAATATTCGACCACTTTTAAAATCCCCAAATTGACCAAAATCACAAAACCGACCACTTTTCATGTAGAAAGTGTTTAACCACTAACATTGCCCCCAATGGCTATTCAAATGACGTATTTTGGGAAAAAGGTGTGCGGACATCAGTCAGCAGAGTGCTCCCTCACATTGTTACCCGCTTAGAATGGAAGCCGTAAACAAAGCAAAACAACAAAAACAACACAGAAAGGAAGAAAATGCCTGGACTTTGGAATTGTTAAAACAAATTCCTCAAAACATGGCAATTTTAACACTTTTGCTTAGCCACAACAATATGCAAATTGTTAATGTTAATAGCAACAACAACATAGAGCACATGATAATAGGCTTTTTAGGGGCCTTTGGAGGAGGTGAGGTTTGGCACTTTCCACTTAAGCATTATAATCGTATTAGATGTCGAGAAACTATGTCCGCCTTTTTGATGTCTAACCGAGGGATTCCGCCGACTATTTCAACACCCAATCATCATCAACATTAACACGAAAAGCTGCGGATGGATGGGCAGAGAACTTTTGGTTGTTGTTGTTTTTTTTTTTTAATTTTCATAAACAAAGAGAAAAATTATTTATTTTCTTCTTCACTATTGCTTTTCCGCATTTTTTGTTGTTTTGCTAATTATTATGTTTTTTTGTTGTTTTTGTTAAAAAACACAAATCATATGAATGCGAAGGGCGCATAATTGTAAAGAATTCTTGGTGGTAATTGAAGGAGGTCAGGTTGGCTGCCATGAGAAAGAGACCTGCTGGCCAGTGGTGGCCATGAAATGAAAAATTGAAATAAAAGACAGTGCTGAAATATATTTTAGGGGCAGAGATTTTGAAAGGGATCAGGGATTTTTAAGAATGATAGGGGAAGGGTCAAAGGTGGGAAGTTTCTAATAAGAAACCCAAGGGCGTAGTTAATTTCAAGGGAAAAAAAGTCATAATTTATAGATAGACCAGCTAAAGGGCCATTGGTCTCTTTATCTAGAACAGCTGGCGGGCCAGTAGGTCTCTATATATCTAGACCCAGTTGGTCTGGTCATTGGTCTCTATACCTAATATCAGGTCATTGGTCTCTATACCTAATATTACAGGGGAAGGGTCAAAGATGACAATTTTAGGAAAGTCTCTAAAATGAAACCCAAGGGCGTAGTTTATTTCAGG